ACTTTGCAAGATAATTGCAGGGCACTGCTTGTTTGTAAACGGAAATTTGGCAAAGTCGGTGTCTAGGTTTTATAATCTTCATGAAAAGACTGCAGTTTTGCGATTGTCGAGCATTTTCGTATTGGATACGGTATGGAGTTTCCTACCAAAAGCGCTGATAAGTCCAGTTTCTTGAGTTGATTTTTACGGACTCATGCGAATTGATAGTTTTGCAACGGGACGTCGATGGTGCTGGCGTTGAACTTAATCACGAGCAACACCATATTATTGTTCTTACACCTTCAAACATTGTGGATACCTTTTAATTGATACAAATGAATTAGTATGCAATGAGGTTGTTGTGTAAAATGGAAGCATGTGCAGCATTAACAGCAAGCTTATAAAACATGCTTGTGTCACGAGTTCTTCAAGTTTACTTCCATTATGTTCTGAATTGAAGCAAGATAATTGCAGGTGCCGAATGAGACCAGGACAATTTTATGCAGTGCCGATTGTCGAAGGCCTCGAATGATTACACCAGAAGTTAAAGTCTTTCTGAGTCACTGTGAAGCTCTTAAAGCAAGGCTGGCTCCTGACTTCAATGAAATACTTGCACAAGAGACATTCATGTAGAATGAACTTCTGAGTGTAAGTGTGTTTGCTTTACACCTTTTCTTTTCTTTTTTTCATATTTTTGAGCGTTGGGCAATGATGTAAAACCTTTTTGGACACACAAAAATGAGGAGGCAAACGATATCATCATTCTCGCATCGTCTCTTCTTTCTTTCTTTCTTTCTTTCTTTCTTTCTGTTTTTTTCTCTTCCGACGTGAAATTTGAGGGTGTGTGTTTGTTGTCATCTGACTTGTCACTGTCTCTTCTCCTCCTCTTGATTTAGATATTTTTTTCAAATAAAAAAAATCACCTCCATACTTGTCCCATTCTGAGATCTAAGAAATCCAGCTGACCCGACTTACTTGTATTTGGTGATCGACGGGAACGTTTATACAAAAACCCAATTTCGCAGCAAAGATTGATTGCCGTTCATCATCCAATTTTTCTTCACTTCCGATTTTATCTCTCTTGGGTTTTAATCTTGTCAAGGTTTAAAAAAATACTGAGTTACTGAAATAATGGAGAATTCTCACCATCTTGCAACAGAAGCGATCCTTATTACTTTCCCAAAAGAAGAAGACTAGTAACAATGTAACCTTGAATTTTCACCCAGATTCATATGCAGTGTATTGTTGAACTGCCCGAACAAAACGTATTTCAACTGCAAACCACCAACCCAAACGCTATTCCCTCGGGAAACACATTACATCGGAGTGTACAGTTTCGCAACAACTTCAGAGAGCATTAGCACAGAAGAACAGCCTGTTTTATAATGTACGAGATATGGGTTTTAAAGGTGCTCTATTCTATGAAACATATACCTCATGGTGGCGAAGCCTTAGTGTCTCACATAATTATGTGCAAGGTACTCACACCGAATAAACTTGATTTTTACACAAGCATGTCTTGGACAGGAGGAACCACATGACCTGCCAAGATAATCATTAGCCAGTCAGCGAAGGTACAATCTCCAATCCACGTTTTTTTATATTTTTTTGTTCAAATATACATCGGGGGGGGGGGAAAAAGAAAAAAAAAAAGGGATGTAGAACAGTCGTTGGGATATTATATTAGGTATGTGCATCTGAAGACTCATTATATTACTGACCGTTAGAGTAGCAATTCTCCGCTATCTAAACATGTCATTCGAAGAACTAAATTTCCTATTTAAGAAAAAAAAAAAAAAAAAAAAAAACATCAAAACAAATATCAAAATATGCAAAGAGTCTCGATATCCTTATAACTTTAGCGTTACCGAGAGGCTATCCTTTCAGCATGACACATGCCCTCAAGTTCTCTATTGCTTGAAGTGCAGTTGACTTTCTAGTCTTCCACAATGAAATTCATGTAGAGAGTGCAACTGGTCCATGTACGACACGAAGTTCAAATACTTCAGCTTTCAGTTTGTGGGTGCACCGGAAATGACTCCAAGCAAGTGGAACATTACTGCCCACCACGGTAAGGGGAGCGGTTCCCAGTGTGGGCGTGATTAGCAAGAGGACAACATAAAGGTAAAAATAAAGGCGAGAATTTTCTGACATGGTGACGCATTGTGGCTACGAAGGAGGGTGACGCAAGCAGGGAAAACCGGACAGAAATGTTGTCAGCTCCTAAAGGTACGGAACACCCAAAACGCGAAAACACCTGAGCGCAAGTGGCCATGAAAAGGGCTCGGCTTGAAGAAGAAGATGCTATTGTGATCAAATATCCTATTCTAGACACCAGCTTGGGTCACACCCTTGACGGGGTCCTACAATCCTAGCCAGCAATTTTCAACTCCTTAAAACGCTAAAACTAGACCTCGTTTGTGTTGCCATCACTGCGTAGTCTGCAAGATACTACAAGCCAGCGGCGTGTCAATGGAAATCCCAGGTTTCCAGTCAATGAGGATGGGAGAATAATTAATTTGAAAAATAAAAAGAGGAGGAGAAAACCGTCGGCATTTTTTCTCTTACGCTTTTCGTTGCAAAGTTTTACCTACTACAGGGAACTCCAAACGTGGCTTCGGAATAGAAAACATTATAGACCTTTCTGGTGGGTGCCCGAAGAATTTATTTTCTTTTTGTAGCCCGTGGTTAGAATAAAATCGATAAACTTAACATTGTATATAGGCTTATATAATATGTATGTTTAGCTACGTTATTGGTCAGTGACGCGTTTGGCCAATCTCGAAAGCCCACACACCCGGTGCCTTCATTATGTTGGAGCCATATATAGGCATGCTGCAAGTGGGCTACGAGAATTCAGCTCAAAGGCCAGCACCAAATCCAGATTTGATCAATCAGTGCAAGCGCCAGCAACCATGCCATTGGAGCCTCTCGGTCCCTCCGGATGGATCTGTCGTTCCGGAGGTTTCAGTGTGGAGGAGTCGCAGTGGTTTGGGAGGCTTTATTTCCCGTTGATCTGCGCGTGCCCAAAGCTAATTGGTTTTAGAGCAGTCAAATATGGACCAAGAGGATTTCGGTACGGCTCACCATGCTTGGTCCAACCCGGATGCGCTGATTATAAAAATAAAAAAATAAAAAAAAATAAAAAAAGAGTTTGTGATCGATTTACCGTCCTGCTTTCCTTCGCGACCTCTTTCCAGTGCTACATATTCCAGGTAGGCCAACAGAGTTCTCCACTGCACCAGAAGCCCAGGCCAAAGTAAAAACCAGAATTGCATGCATTCAACTAACACGGTGTCGATCTGCAAAACTAGGAGATAATCCAGTTCAACCCTGTAGTTCCTGAACCAGTTGCAGTTTTCGAGCTACGACAACTCTCAAGCTTTCAGTCTGTTATGAGTGGACACCGTGCTGCGAGGAATCGTCGTTTTCGGAGCTAAAGATTGAGCAATGATTCCCAAGCTCACAACAAGTTGGTATTTTTGGATCCCCACCCAATTAATGGAATCGACGATCGGACATCGAGGTCAGACATCGAGGTTTGAATTGTGGGTTGCGGACTTTCCTGCTTTTCAGAGCCTTTTTTTTTTTTTTTTTTTTTTTTTTTTGCAAACGGGCATGGGAAGCTCAACAGTGAACCCATTCAAACCATCAGAAAAAAAGTTGGGTTCTAGTTGGAGGGTTTAGGGACTTCATCACAACAGTTCCACGTGTGCATTTTCTCTTTTATTTTGCATTCTAATAACATGGTTGCTTTTCACTCAATTTGACCTTTTGCTGAAACTCTGTTGACGACTTCTCTATTTCCACGGTGGGGTTGGAGAACTACCATCGCTACCCACCAGTTGGATTTTTTACCGTAAGAACTATGTTACTAAATCTAATTAAGTTGTGCATGAATGCAATTAATTCTTCATACACATTTTGATTAGTGTTTTTATCAACCAATATATGAGAAGTTACTAACTTAATGTTATACGCAAATCGCACATTTTGACTTGTTAAGAGAACTATTTGAGACGATATATTTTAAGAAAAACCAAAACCTTTTCAATTTGAACTAATCTGTTATCTTAAATAACAAGTAAATATAAAATCCCCATAAGAGAAAATCATAACTAGTCTTTAAATTTGAAATGACAATTTTTACACTTTTAGCATTCATTATCTGTTTCAATTTTTTTATTTTACTGCTTTGAATCGTAAAACAGTATAAGAAAAACAATGCAAATTTGTAAACTTATAATCTCCATTTTTGAATTTTTGAACTATTTTTCAAATAGCCATAACAATACACTTGTAGAACACAAGTTGCAACCCCTCCCCCCCCTCACTAATTTGAGAAACACCGCTCAAGATAACATGGAATTGTAGAACACACACACACACACACACATATATATATATATATATCCACATATATATCCATATAGATATTAAAGCATGAATGCATTGGAGAGATAAGGTAAGAAAATGGGAATAGGATAGAAATCCACCCTTGGTGGGTGAAGGGTAGTATAGTATAGTAGTAGCTATAATAACAAAGCAATGCAGTTGCCATGCTGTGTGACGTGGAGTCAACCCCAACTTGAGCCCAAAGGAAGGAGGAGGGGAAGAGGGGGTCTTCGGCAAGGGTGTGGCCCTAAGACACTTCCACTAGATATGAGCCCCACAACTCTCTCAAATTCCCCTTGCTACAACGGGACAAACGTAGCTGGGGAACCTTTCATCCAAAAGTTTATCCATCCATACATGCAGCTAATATCCATCCATATGCCCTTTTAACCATCCATTCATGTATCCATCCATACATGCAGCTAATATCCATCCATATGCCCTTTTAACCATCCATTCATGTATCCATCCATCCAAGGCTAATGGAGCGGACGATGTCTAGAGGGGGCCATATCCGAAGTCTAGTCCTCCTGCTACTGCTACTACTCTTTGCCTCGTGGGCCTAGTTCCGACTGGCTCTGCTGCTCTGAGCGGGGCGGGGATAGTTGGGTGCTTGCCAGCCACCAATTGCTGCTGCCCCGATTGAAACCACTCTGCATTGCCTCATAATCGCTCCTACCCCACTGAATAATAATGCATCGTAAATTTCCTTCGTGAAAGGAGGAGGAAATTGAAACCCCGCAGTGCTGCAGGGCTGTGTGTGTGTGTGTGTGTGTGTCTGTCTGTCTCTTTCTGTTTCCAGCCATTCTTCCTAACTGAAAGCGAGGAGTAACTTTCTCCTGGGAATTGGGTATTGGGAACCGGGGATTTCGGAAGACGCAGAGCTGCGGAGGCGAATGAGAAATGGCAAGTGGCAATGCTGATGATGGCGAAAGCCTGCCATCGGGATGGATTCAATGCTAGCGTACAAAGAGTACCGCCACTGCACACACAGGTAGAGAGGGAGTAGGGTGCGGTAATAATTGAGGGGGAGAGTGAGCGAGCGAGCGAGAGAGAGCGAGAAAGGAGAAGATGAAGACCATGGGACTTGCTTTGCTTTGCTTTGCGCAGGGATGAAAGGGTGCCCGATGTAGCCGCAGGTCAGACTCATGGTGGGGCTACTATTTACCACGGCTGTGGGGTCGGGAACAGTGACCGTGAGTAGCCTGTGCCAGGGCAAGGGCAGTTGCCGAGGGTACTGTAGGTTGTTGGAGGCTGGAATCTGGTGCAGGGAGTTGGTGCGGGGAAGCTTGTCTCTTGATGGGAGCTAGTTGCTACTGCTGCTTCGTTTGCTGCGGTGGATATTTGCTAGTTGTAGCAGTAGCGTAGTGTCGAGCCTGTAGACCTATTGTCCATTTCGATGTCATGCAACAACCTTCCTGCCAGTGCATCCCTTGTCACCCCGCTGCACGCCTGTTATTGCCACTTGCGTGCGGCATGCTCATCTCGCACCATCGTCGCTCTCCCGCGCGGTGGCGAGTTTGCACTCGTCGGACTGGTCTCTTGACCATGGCGTGGGCACTGTAGTTGTGCGTGGCGAAATGGTGAATCGTAAAGTTTGTTGCTGGTGTGGGCGCTGTGAAAAGGTAAAGACTGTTTTGTCTTTGGTGGGGGTTATGCATCCCGCAGAGGTGGCTTAGGCCAGGAGAATCCTTTGTTTTGGCGGATTTGTGGTCTTTTGTTTAGAAGAGAGAGGGATTCTGGAATGTTTTCGGAGTTTTGAAGAAATGCGAGGTGGTAGAGGATGCTGGAGTAATTTTCAGGCCAGTTTTGAGGTTCGGGATAAGGGGCGAGGGACGAGAGTCGTCATGATCGCATGAGTTTGGAAGTGTCGCGTCTTTGATAAGGAAGGGCTGTCGACTAATGTCCGGTTAAAATTAGAAGGGTTGTAGCGTGTATCGTGTTGGGAGTTCAGCGTTGCCGCCAATCTGGTAGTTGGTGGAATACTAGGATGGCTTTCAATCGCTCGCTCGCTGTCGACTCCCTGCGTGTTCTTGGTCCTGTGTGTCTTGATGGATTTTTTTCGAAGTTAATTGGACATTGTCGGATGAGTTCGGGAGGACCCTCTTGCTGCTTTCTTGACCCTCCTAAGAACTTGTCCAGCACAGAATATTCCCATTGGCATTGGAGAGCATGCTGTATTTTCTTTTTTCAACATGTGAGGTTGTATTACTTGAAGTTCTCCGAGCATGAAATCCGAGGCAGGGGCTCCTTGATCCCTCCCTAGATGGATCTGCAGACACAAGTTTTTGGTGCAGCATTCTGTTGCAGAGTGTCCGTTTCTTAGGTTTGGAGTCTCATCATTTGTGTCGTTGTCGCTGTGTCCAGGGTCTGGGTCTCCATCAGAAGCGTAGAATCAATCACAAGGAGAGGAGGCCCTGGCCTGAGGTTTTTGGACCGCGCGTTTAAGGATTAGCGCGATGTGGAGTTTGAATAAGGGTGATTTAGCTAGGAAGCAGGTAGGATTGCTCATTTCCCACAAGGAGGTAACGGTGAAGGGTTGGGCGGCCCTATAATCCTAGTAGCATAATGGTAGAAAATGGTTCAGGATGCCTGTAACTTGGCTCACCAAACACAGAATTTAGTAGTCCAGACTACAATGCTGGAATCTCAGCCGAATATTGACCAAGTATATCCAGAGGGAAAAGGATTGGGAAGGCTTGTGTGTTCCTCGAGAAAGGATGTTGGTGGTAGTGACTCCAGTGCAATGGACGACTCAGTTACAGATGATGTCCATGGATGTACCAGGGACGTGTCGGGTATGTCAGGTACCTCACCTCGGTCTTGGAAAGATACTCGTGAAAGATTTAGCACCGAGACGATCAGGTGTTGTGCTGATTTGGGCAGCGAATTGTTTGTGCAAACATGGAGAGAACGCCCTAGGGATGCCTCAAGCTTTTTTGGACTTCTTCTCCACAACGTGGTAGCATTCACTCTGGTATTGTTGAGTGGAATCATAACATGGGAAAGCTCCGTGAATGAACTACGTAGTAGAATCGACCGAACTATCGTGTTCCCGCTGTATCTCCCACATTCAGTGGCGCTTGCGGTGGCATGCATTTGGACAACTGCTGCCGCTCCTGGGAATCTGGTGGGTTTGTACCTGGTTAGGATGTACATGATTTGGAGGGGTCACCTGGGATTTACTAGTTTGAATACCACAGTCATGTTTCTGGCGGCATTTTTAGCGACACTTCAAAGCCACATAGGTGCATATTTTCTGCGGAAGTTTCTGTGTGCGGTTAGCTTAAAGAGATTTCCCACGATCGACTCTGCGAAAGAAGCAGTGTGGTACTTGATCACAGTCTTCTTTCTTTCCTTAGTGTTTAGCACAGTCATCTCTTTGTGCATTGCGATTACCCCTCTCTTACAATGGACTAGCTTCTGGACATACTGGGGAACCTGGTGGCTTGGGGTTCTGGCAACTATGATCACTGTCACACCACTTCTCACGCATCTCTTAGCTTGGGAATATGAATCTAGCTTAAGGAGCCCTGGGAATCTACTGGAGTGCTTATTGTGTGTTGTGGCCACATCAGCCATCATGGCGATTGTGTTCTTCGTCAACTTTGAAAACTTCCGGGTGCTGCCCTATCTGTGTTTCCCTCTCATCACGTGGACTGCTTTTCGATTTAATAGAGTGGGCTGGGCAATCACCGTCAGCACTGTTGCTTACTGTTGTGCTTTAGGAACCGTCCGCAGGACGGGCGCTCTTTATAACCTAAGAGCGCCAGCTTCACCTTCTTCCCCCGAGCTCATTATTCAGGTGAGAATTGTTTTTGAGAAAAGTTGGACTTTGTTCCTGTGTCTTTTCTGTTATACAGGTGACTTGATTTAGTCACGACGAAGCAACAATTTCGAATAGCGGAATTCTGTTTTGACTGATGTTCAACTTGTTTATGCATGTATCAATTAAGTGATTGGGCTTTTATTTTTCAGGTTGAACTTTTCAGCTGTGTGGTGGGAATAATCAGCATAATATTGGCCGCAGCAGTGAAAGAGAAAAAAGTCCTCACTCAAAAACTACATCAGTTGAACATTGAGCTGGAACAAACAGTTGACTTAAGAACATTGGAGCTTCGTAAAGCGAATGAGGAACTTCAAGTTTCGCAGAGGAAAGCTGTACAAGCTAGCCATGCTAAATCAGATTTTCTCGCAAACATGAGTCACGAAATCAGGTATTAATGAATCCTTCGCTCGTTTCAAAGTCCTCTGAATTGATACCCTTCAAATTATCATCTGTTAGCCTTCAAAGAATGACCATGTAAGAAATCACCAGTCAGTAATACCTTTGAATGTCCCTCTTGTGACTGGTGACTCTGGTCCTTACGCGAGTGGCACCACTTCGACCCCAGCTCCTAGAGCTTATTGGTTGCCTGTTCTGTGTCGCATCCTCCCGCCTCTTTTTGTTTGTAGTTCCATTGATGAAATCAATATCATTTGACTTGATTCAAGGATGATTAGGTTACTGATCATTTTCATATGGGTTTGATTAGGACACCAATCCATGGGATCCTGGGCTTGACTGCATTGCTCTTGGAGTCCGAGCTCACTCCAGACCAGACGGAGAGTTTAGAGTCCGTTAAGGAATGTGCGGATCTTCTTTTGCATATTATCAACAGCGTTCTAGATCTTGCTAAGATTGAGGCAGGACGCTTGGAGGTAGAGAAAGTTCCATTTAACATTCGGAAAATGGTATCAAGTACTTTTCGCATGCTGCAAGCACGGGCACAACAGCGTGGCTTGAAGCTGTTATGGGAGGTTGATAAATGCGTGCCTCAGACCTTGGTGGGCGATGTTGGAAAGCTACAGCAATGTTTATTGAACTTAGGTCTGTCTGGACTGTTCATGCCCATTTTATGCTTATTTATCTTTAATTTACGAACAATATGTTACGCTTCAGTGATTTGCATTTTCACAAATTTATTGAGTACCAAGGATAATGTTGCTATGTTGAGTACGGGTCAAATTTTCAAAGAAACAAAACAAACATTTCATCGTCATGTGGAGATTTGCAAGTATTAGGTATTTATATTTTCGTCACTGGGTGTGATTTTGCAGTTGGCAATTCGCTGAAATTTACGCACAAAGGATTGGTAACTGTGAGTGTAAGATTAGCAGCTGATCAAACGACCATGCCCCTTGACATAAACGATGGTAAGTACGAGGATGTTTTGCTGAATTATACATCTGTTTACGATCAGTTACGCACGATTGTGTGATTCTATTTAGTATCTTCTGCTAATTATCTGGTGATGTGGGCACCTCAGAATCTGCAAAAAATGTGGTTGGAGCATCTGGTGACAAGTCTTCAGAGGGCTCTTTAAACCAGGAAGCTCCAGGCAGGGTGAACGTTGAATTTGAGGTTCGGGATACTGGAATTGGAATCAGTCAAGAGAAATTACTGGACATGTTCAAGCCATTCACGCAGGCTGAGGCATCCACTTCGCGTTTGTATGGTGGAACTGGGCTTGGCCTTTGCATAGTTCAGAGGTATGAAATTTAGAAATGTTTTGGCCTACTTAAAGCTTCAAGTAGTGGTCTAATTTTATTTAACTCTTAACGATTGGGTTACAGACTTGATACTCTTGTTAGAATTACAAATGATTGGCACAATGTGTCCTTTTCTACATCTGCATACTCGAACCTTGAATTGAACTTGTTTTGCATTATATAGGTGTGTTATACTCGTCTCAATCACGCCAGACTTATGTTTTCCTTGTGAGGCAATGATATGAAACATAGCACTACTTTGTGTTTATTTTTGCAGATTCGTTGAGCTTTTAGGAGGCACTATATCGGCTGAAAGCGAACTTGGCAAAGGGAGCGCCTTCTACATTCGTTTGCCCTTCTACCCGAACAAACCAGCAGAGAGTTCATCAGTATCGTCTCCAAAAGTTTTTCCAGGTTTTTATATTAATCCTGCTTACGACTCTATGGATTTAGGACTGACAGGAATGAAGGGATAAGTCATTACGTCAGAGCAGCTCTCGTTAAAGAGTGGTGTTAGTTTATCGAACCTTGGAGCTTGCGTTTGATGCATTACTAAGATTTCTTCATGCAGATAAAATTCATGGTCGTCAATCCTGGAGTCTTATGGGAGGTTTGATCTTCAACCCATCTGGCAAGTACCAGAATGAATCAAATCAGCTAGAATCTGGAGCACATACTTGGAATTCGAATTTAGCTGCAAGGGTTCGAACAACCAATGATCTTTTAGGACTGTTCAAGGACAACAAAGGCGCTGGTTTGGGTAATTTTGACGGCATCGATTCGTCCGCTGTGAATGGATACTCACCAGATTTTCAAGGCTCTAAATATAGACTTGGAGCAGTGCGGAAAGGTAGTTATGGTCCAGAACATTATGCGTGGGCTGCACCTGAACTCGTGCAGGGTGGATCTAATCCAGTCGTTGAAGATCAGCTAGTAGAGAAGACACTGTCAGATCCAGCTAGTGCATTAAATGAATGCAACATGCCTCTGAAGTGGGATTCTGTCCGTAGTGATCGAGGCGCAAGCAGTGAAGTCACGCAGTTGTTACAACCGGAGTCTCTCTTGAATCGAGTCAATAGTGGTAACCCAGAATCGTGGGAGCTAGTCCAGTCACAGAACTTCGTGTCGGTTTCTTCACAAACATCTTCTACTTTCTCAGATTGGGGAGTAGGAACTGCTTTCTTAAGGCCACATGAAGGTTCTATGGATTCCGACCCTCCAGAAGGAGAAGAAGCCCTGCACGGGGCCATGGAACGTGAAAGAGGAAATGTGATAGGATTAGCGGGCAATTTGTCAGTAGTAGTAGGGGCACATTATCCACGTGGGGAGTCGACCTCGGTAAGATCAGATCTTAGTAGAGAATCATCTGCAGAGTTGGAGAAGTTGTTAGATGGCAAGGTTAGTCTAAATATACTGCTGGCGGAAGACAACGCCATTAATCAAAAGGTGGCCAGCCGACAACTCGAGAAACATGGACATGTTGTCACCATTGTAGGCGATGGTCAGCAAGCCCTGGAGGCCATTATTAGTCGTCACGACGAGTTCGACCTCGTGCTGATGGATGTTCAGGTACTGAACACTCCCATTCTCAGTGAACTCGTTAATCGTTTGCTCTGTGCAGCAAGGTGGTGGTCCTGGTAGGCTGATGTGATGAAGAAAGTTCAGAGTTATTATGGATCAGTAGGGGAAACTCATTATAGTCTTTTGATGATTTCAAAGAAACTTGTAATGTTGTGGTACGTTGGGTGTAGCTGCGGGGCTTAGGGAGGGGCATTAATTTCGTTTAAGTTTTGTTTTGAGTCTTTTTTCAGAGACATACGAGTTGAGTGCTAAGGTCTACACAAAATGTTCTTAATCCAGGTTCTAGACATTTCTCGTCTTAGAAAGTGGCAATATGCTCATGGTAGTTATGTTTTGTTTTGCAGATGCCAACAATGGATGGATTAAGGGCTACAGACCTCATACGAAAAGCTGAACGTGAGAATAGCTGGACGCGGGTTCCTGTATTGGGGCTTACCGCGCATGCTATTCAGGGTTACCAAGAAACATGCCTACAACATGGAATGGATGGCTACCTTGGCAAACCTTTTGATATTCACCAGCTGCTAAAAACTATTGGTCATTTGTTGCCACCTGATAGGCTTGGCCAGCGGCCGTGACCTTTTGTTTGTACATTATTTCTATGCTGGTTAGAGGAAATCACTACACTGAACAATTTTTGCTGGAATTGACCCTTGCCTTGGTTTCCATGATCTCAGCCACGACGAGGCATTCATCCTGTATCATGTTTCTTTTCCATTGATTGCCGCATATTTAGGGCTTGTATATTTCATGGTACATTATTTTGTTGCAAATTTTTGTAAAGCATGCAACTTTTCCTCACGCAATTCTTTGCAGTCTTTAGGGTTGCAGTTCTGATAGATTAACTAACTTCTGCTTGTTTAAATAAGTTTTCCATGGTCGTCGAAAATTGTTGTCTTTAAATTCTGCTTCTGATTACCCTCCTAACGCCTGACACGTCCGTAAACCTCGATATTTTTCTTCAAGTCACTGTAGAAAGTGTTCAAATCCCAAAGTCTCCGAGGTTTCCTAGATCATATAAATTTTATTTTCTTAAAAGTGAATTCTAATTGTCTTTGGGAAGTTTATTCAACAACATTGCGATGAAATAAAGCACAATTTTCAGTGGACTTTCCTGATTACAGAGCTGCAAGATGAACAGAGTGCCCTTGTTATCCACAACGGATTCTTGGACAATTATTGACTGATCGTAACAGCGATGTACCGGAGAGTGAAAGAAAGCCAGACTGATAAATGCTAGGTCTCTTGGAAAATGGAGTGGGTAAAGCTCTTCAACCGCTGCTTGTTTCTGTCTTTCCATCTGCGTATCAATCGAGCTCCAACTGCAATTACGCTGCTCCTCTGGCACCGCACAGACACCCTTATCCATGGACTGGCAAGTTTGTGGAAATACAAAGTTGATCCTCAGCAGATGCTTCCAACATGAATCCGATCCCTTGCAACTATTTCATGAAAACATGACAGACTGATCCAAATGCACTCCAAGGCTCTCATTGCAAGCTTCCCTTCAGTCAGAAGGAACGGGGCACAGTCTCTGCGTGTTGTTTTTTGTTTCTTTGTTTGTTTTTTTTTGTTTTTTTTTTGTTTTGTTTTTTTTTATTGAGCTGCAGCTTTGCTCTGCTGCACACCTGCTTACAACAATCAATCGTCAGTTACAACTATGTTCCATCAGCCTGTTCTTCATCACTAGGTGAAGATGACCCAACGTAAACTTTTCTGTAGCATTCGACACACCCAGAAGTGTGTCATTTCCTTGAGAGCTTCCACTGCTGATCATGTACAGTGGGCCTTCCTCCTCGTCGAACTCTGAGCCGTTGCAATTGTTCCAGATTCAACCATGGCTAATGGAGGGTCCAAGGTTTGCAGCTTTGTTTTAACTTCTGACAAAGATCTGTTTACAATTCTCCACATCATATGATCAGTAAACCTGAACGGTCATTCTCTGTTCTGTAATCCATATCTGAGACGATGCTGTGAGTTAGGATAACGTTGAGGTGACCGCTGCCACAGTGATCAAATCAGTGGGTCATGTTCAGGAGGCATCTAAAGTACCAAAGATCTTCTGTAAAAACAAAGACCCACAAATCAAAATTGCTATAGATCCTTTACTCATAGAAGTGGAGTTAAGCTTTTGGCATAGGTTGTGAAGGTGAACACATTAAAAATTACTACACTACTATCGTACTGGGTTTATCATACCGTTATTCTAAGCACCCTGTTATAGTTTACTGTTGGATTCTATGTAGTATATTGCCACCTTTGGTCAAAACAGTGGAAGTTTATTCTTATTTTTATTTTGTTCAAGGAATTAGGTTGTTTTGTTGATGAAATGCGTGTGGCATTGCAATGTGATCATGCTATTGTATGCAATTGACATTTTTTTTTTTTTTTTTTTTTTTTTTTTCTTTTCTTCTTTTGTTGCAAGTGAATTTCTTGGACAGAATTTTCTTATTTGAATAATTGAAGTAAGAAACTGTAATTTGTGAACATTTGGTTTGGTATTATTGTTAGTAGATAAAAATGATGATGCTCTTTAATGATTAAAGAATTGAAAATAAATATATAAATATACATGCATATATATATATATATATATATATATATATATATCACAGTCAATTTATTATTTTGCAAATTAAATATTTTGTGATTATAAAGAATATTGGTCATAGATTTAAAAGACACAAAAGATTTATTTTATTTTATTTTAATTAGAGCTTTAGTACTTTCTTTGAATTTTTCAATACACAATAGCAAAACCAACCCTTAGAAGAAAATCCAAATACAATAAAAATTGAAACAAAACATCCTTGTATATTGTACAACAATGATTATATTTTGAAGTAATTTGAATAAAACACATGATATCTTTAGGTTTGGAATTTATTTATTTTTGGAAAAAATAATCAATTAGCTTTTTTTTAATGAAATTCTACGATTTTAAGATTTTGAACTTTAAAATTCTCCAAAATTAAAATTTCCAAATTCTATGATACAAGAAGGATATTTATATCAATCGCAACAAACAAACAAAAACAAACGAACGTCGATTGGCGAACGAACGAACGAAGCAACGAACTGACGAACGATGGGCGGCGTCGTCAGTCCGACGGAGGACAGGGTTGACGGACGAAACCTCACCCCGTGATCGACGCTGCTCGCCCATCGTTTGTTTCTTTGTTTTTTTGTTATTTTTTGTTATTTTTTCCTCGCACGACATGAATTTTTCTATTCAAAGCGTTGCAGATTTCTGGTCGTCGGGTCCGATGCGGATTCCCATCGCGTCGGCGATCCTGAATTGGGTATCCTTGGGGAATCCTCTGAAGGCAGTATTCGCTTCATAGCCTGCTGGATTCGTTGTTGCAGAGGAAGTTTGCCATGGGATATCACGTTGGTTTCATGGGTGTGTGAAGGAGCTGCGGAAATGCTCGATAATTGGAACCGGGAATTGAATTACAGGAAGCTGATGGACGGCGGTAGGGGAGCTGGGGCAGGAGATGGAGCAGTACCAGCAGCAGCAGCAGCAGAAGCGGTGACTGTGGATTTGAGCATGTGCAACCAGTGTGGGAATCTTATAGAAAACACGGTGACCTATTGTCATGCCTGCTACGACCTGCGATCGGAGAGCGATTTCCGAAACGAGCGGCGATGGCGTGAACTCGAGGGCGATTTCATGGTGGTGGAGGCGGATTTGCACAAGGAGAGGGCTGCCACCAAGCGTTTGGAGGGGGCGTTGCAATCTTTCAGGCATATGCTGTTGCAAGGTATCCATGCCGATGTGACGATCGAGACGGGAGAATTCGATAGAACACCTGCTCATCGTGCTGTTCTTGTAAGCATGTACATGGCTATCTCTGTTAATTTTTCGGCTCTGAAGTTCAGGGCTGGGTCTGTTTGTTACCCAGAATTTCGTTCTTGCTGGAGCAATAAATATGCATCTTGCAATATTGTACTGTTTGTGGTGAGGCTCCGATTTCAATTCACATGGTTTTGATCGGAGGTGGAAAAGTTATATGCTTGGAGCTGCCTCAACGGTTATACATTCACATTGTGTGTAATCTCGTCGCTGTCTTAGTTTTCTGGGTGTTTGTTTCGCATTGCTTCCGATCTGATCTTACTGCATGAGCTTAAATGAATTTCTCTGTGGTTTACTAGACTTTCTGCCCTTTCCTGTGTTTCTGTAGTTCAAGTTTGTGTGGTGATGAAGTATTTTGCCAGTCACACTGATCTGTACCTGGAGTAAGTTTTTGGAATGTGGCAAGTGTTTTTGAAAACGCTTTGAATCTGTTTATTTGGTCTTCTCTCATGTTGAATACTTCACAACCCACTTTGTAAATTTGTAGTGTTTGTGCAGGAATTTGGAGATTTCCTTTCCTGTATAAGGTAGCTGCATCTATGTTGTGGTTTAGAGCCCTCTAAAGTTCACTGAAGCATTTTTTTTTTTTTTTTTTTTTTTTTTTTTTTTGTTCAAGCTCTTTTGTGTTCTTATCCCGAAAGTGGATTTGTTTGTGTTCAGGCTAGCAGGTCACCAGTCTTTAGAGCAATGTTCGAACATGAACTGAAGGAAAAGACGTGTGCCCACATACATGTCGCTGATGTGTCCACTCCGGCCATGCGTGCTCTGCTGCTCTATCTCTACACAGGTAAGGACTAGTAGCTTGTGTTCATTTTTCTCAAAGTAAGGGGATTGAACGGAGAGGACCTGACCGTAATTGATATATATTAGTGTATAGACTTGACAGACTTTAGAGTCGATGAGAATTGTAACCCAGGTAGAAAGTCAAGGATGAAATAACCACTGGAAGTACAACTGTTAAAAAGGGGTTTAAACGAGTCCAATTTCTTAGGCGTTGCACTTTTATACTATGACGTACTAAGGCGCAGGACCTCTGTTTCTCAGGAGATCATGACACAAAAGTCATGAAGGAACACGGCATGGCTCTATTGACTGCTGCACATAAGTACGACATTCCTGATCTGAAGAGGGTGTGTGAAACGGCAGTTGCAAATTCAGTTAAACCTTCCAATGTGATCGAGACCCTACAACAAGCACGATTATACGATGCAACTTGGGTTAAAAGAGCTTGTGTTGACTGCATTGCTCAAAACTTGGAGAAGGTAGCATTCACTGAGGAGTTTCGTAACCTTATATTTAGAAACGATGATCCAGAAGCTATATTAGACACCATACAAAGCATTGCTGCTCTTCAATAATCTCTCCTTCTCTTCCCTTCGTGTTTTCGACTCTTTCGAGCTTGTGGAAAAGGAAGGAATGCACTGTCCAAGCTTTTTCAATTCTTTTTGTTCTCAAAGCTGAGCCTCAGCGTGGACAGAGTTGCTTTTGTAGCCCAACTTATTTATTTACTTATTTATTATCTTTTCTGTGAACAGAGAAAGGTTCTGAACTGCCAATTGAGAGAAAATGTCGTGGTGTTGCAGAGCAACTTGTGGCACCATTTCTGCAGCTTGTATAAAGACCCGCAGCATAAACTGCTTTGTGGCTGAGTTATTCAATTCCACTTATTGCAGCATCACTATGTATGTATGAATGAATGATAACATTCTTCACACCCAACCAGCCTTGGGGGGCATTGCTTCAGTTTGGGAGTAGTATTTGAATATCTTAAGTTTCAATAATATCTTAGACAATAGTTATTGTATTTGTAATTAATCATAATTAATTACAATTAACAAATAAGATATTTATGTTTTGAGAAAATTCTTTGTACATAAAAGAATTCCTTTTTATGAATAGAATCTTCATTTCAAAGATTCCTTTACAAATTTTAGTTTTATTTATTTATTTATTGTTCATTTTGAAAATGCTGTTTAACATCATTTGCATCAAACCATATCCTTGCAAAATTCTAATTAAATCCCAATATCTTCAAATCGTTTAAAAATAAGAATAATTAATAACGTTGTTTATTGTAATTTTTCTCTACAACTTTTAGTAATATTCATCATTGTAATTACTTTGTCTTTTAGTCTATAATTATTGTTAAAAGATACTTAGGTAAGTACACATTTTCTATAATTTTATATTTCAATCTATATTTTAAAAGATGGATATTTTTGCACCTACAATATTCTTTGTTGTATGCAATAAATAAATAACTATTGAAAAAAATTTCCAAATTGGAAACTAAAAAAGATCAATGTATATATATAAAAATAACATATTTAATTAAAAAACTTAGGCAAGTTTGAAATATTTTGAAATGACTATTTACTTTGGTAGTGCAAGTGATGTTAGAGAATCAATAGTGACAAAAGTAGCTTAAGTGAATATAATTTTAAAACAATGTGTTATATATAAAATCATGTGGTGAAGAAAATTGAAGAAATGGACCTTATTATCGTTTTAAGTTTGAATTTGTTCTCTAATCCTTGAAAAAGATATTATTTTTTCTACTACATTAGTCTTTCTAATACATATTTTGTTTTAAAAAACTAGTAATATGTATACAAACATACCTCATTGTATTAAGATGTTTTTAATATAAGAAAAAGAGTTGGAAACAACTTCTTACCTATTAATGTATTCATGACGTTATTTTTGCAAAAATATTTGTTAAAGTAAAATGAAGGAAGATAAATTTTTTTTGAAAGAAATTAATGATTTGACCATTATTGAATATATATTTTAAGAAGATAATTTGTTGACTAAAAAGAAACCAAAGAGTCTTAAATTATGATTAAAAAACTATAAAAGTTGTAAAAACTTAACAAGTTTCTCAATCCTAGACCTATATATATATGTATATATTAACTCATACAAATGTCATGTGAAAAAATAATAAAGACCACATAATTTGAAAGATAAATATCCAACTAGTGGAATGTTTCTATTGTAGATTTTGAAATCTAAAAAAGGTTGAAATTAATTTTTAGTTGATATATTGAACATCAAAAAAAACTTGTAAAATCTAATCTATATGTTAGAATTTTTTTAAATAATAAATAAAAAATATAATAATAATTTAATTAATTTTTATATTTTTTATTAATATATCTAATAAAAATAATTCTAACACTAATTCTTTCTTGATTATTATCTAACTAAAGAAACAAATTATAAATAATTCTTAAGAAAAAAGCATCACAAGTTGATAAAATTTAAAGCATATCAATTACTATTTGACACAATTTTTTTTTTTATTCCAATACAAACATTAATAATTTCTTTAAATCATTATTAATGGTATGTCAATAAGCACATAACAAAGTTTATTTTAATAGACACAAAACTAATGCTTTAAGATAAAAAAAATTTTATTTCTTAAATAAAGATGTTTATTATACATTGCTAACAATGATAATCATTTAGTATTATTACAAAAAGGATTCTAAATACTACCTATCAAAGAAACAACAAACTATTAAATTATTAAATCTAATCCACTATACATATATATATATATATATATATATATATATTAAATCTAATCCACTATACATATATATATATATATATATATATATATATATATATAAACTTTTAAAAAAACTCACAAGAACTTGAAAGGGAAGAATAAAATAAATGCTTTATCCTAGTCATTTCTTTTTTAAGGATTTTGTTATAAGAAATATTCCTTCTTCATTTATTTTATAAACTTATATAAATAAAAATAATTTAAAACATAAATTTCACTTCAAGAAAATTTGAAAAAAAATAAATAAAAAGATAACGTTTCAACATCCATTCAAACAACTAAATACATAACAACCATAGGTTTCAAAAGAACTTCCAATTCTCTTGAAGTTACATTGCTACAGAGCATTATGACTAAAGAGCCTTTGTTTGCGCACCTGCCGGATAAGACATTGCGATTGTTTTAACCTTCAAGATGACGCAATTGAGATGAAGATCCTCAAGGACGACATGTTCTCCCTCAAATAAATGGTGAGATATAATGTGTTTGATATCACAGCCTTAGAAGAGATTCTTGATATTTGATAATTTTATTAGAAATAAAAACAACTCTTGACTATATTCCAAATGATTTAATTGAAAGAAATTGTGAAGGCCGTAACAATAATCAAATAATAAGGTAGTCTTTCGGCCTTAGTATAGGACACTATTAATGGCTGAGAGGGCCTATCAATTATCTTCAAAGAGAACAAAGATTGGAGTATGTAGCAAATAGAATTGCCTCATCTTTGATTTCCTCAACATATGAAGACCACTCCTCATGGACCTCATTCCTAGAAGGGAGAGTAATGTCACGAACATACACATGTAAACTAATAATTATTTATATGATTTAGATGATAGTAGATAAAAGTAGGTCAATTCCATAATATCTTCTAAAGAAGCTTCCCAAAAGCTTCATAGACATTGCTTTGATTTTATAGGTGTCTTTAATTGATTTTTTAAGTTAGAAACATGGTCAACAAGTTGGCCATGTGCCACACATGTTGATAGCTTGAAGAATAAGCTAAGTATGTAGTCCACACGTAGAAAACTTGTCTTGTAAGCTAAAGTATGTGTCTTGCAAAGTCAACACATATTAGAGGTCCTATAGAACATTGCCACATAGCTCCTAGTTAGATAGTATATATAGAAGCAAGAGTAAAGCCCTCTTCACTCTTGTCAAGTTTTTTCTTACTTCTAGTCTAGTTTCAAGAGTCTCAAGTTTTCTTATCTTTTGGCAATAAGCCATTCTAGTTTCTTTTTAATATACCTACTTCCTTATTTCTATTTTGTTACTTTTTCTTTGACACGGATTTCATTGATTTGTGCATCATCTTCTAGTTCATGTCCTTATCATAGTGTCCTATAGGATCTCCAAAGCGTGTTGACTATTCAAGACACATATCTTAACTTGTAAGGCAAGTTTTTTATATGTGCACTACATAGTTAGCTTGTTTCGCAAGCTATCAACACATGATTAAATTTTTGACCAAGTTTTTAACCTACTAATTAACTATAAATATATATAAAATCAAAGTAGTATCTATAAAACTTCTAAGAAGCTATTCTAAAAAATATCATAAAATAAATTTACTTTTATTTACTTCTATTTAATCATATAGATAAATATTAAAATAAATATGTATGTCCATAACAACCAGCCATGAATTTTGATTCTTTAATCAAATAATATCAAACATAAGAATCAAAAATTTGTAATACCATCCAAATCATTAAAAATAGAAAAAATACTATGTGTTGTTATTTTTTTGTGGTTAATAGGAAGAATAATCTAATTCAAAAATAATGCAACAATCACCACAATTGACAATGATAGAAGTCAAGGTATATTTTCCATAGTTAATTGGAAGTTGAGTGATAATTTGTGGGCAATATTGCTCAACATTAAAAAAAATCACAACAAAAAAAAAAAAAAAAAAAAAAAAAAAATTGAACTTAGACTTCTATCATACAAAAGGAATAAAACAAAAAATAAATAAAAATTAGAATAACTATTAGAATACTTTTAATTACTTCTAATTATTAATAATATGGCTACAAATCAAGGTAATAAAGAATACACCATGTAAATAGTGATTAAGAAAGAAGATACATAAAACTCAAATAACAAGAGTGTGAATCATCAAATTGACTTGTAGTTTTCAAAAAACAAATTGTACTTATATTTTTAGTCTCATAAGAAAAAACAGTGACATTATTAATGTGGTTAGTATTTAGTAAAAAATAAAATAAAATAAAATAAAATAATTATTAAATAAAAAAACAAAAATAACAAACAAATTTATAAAAATAATATAATGCTTTAATTAATTTCTAAATTAAAAAATTATCAAAATATATCTATTATTTTATAATTATTAAAAAAATTCTTATATATGTATATATATATATATATTTATAAAACACAAATATGACACAAAATTATACTTTCAAATTCTATCTTTATTTTTATTAAAATTTTATTTTGGCTTAGAATATTTTTTATTAAAACTTTAAATTAAAAAATATATATAAATATATACATATAAATTAATAATATGATGGTTTTATTTATTTATTTATTTATTTACTACGATTCTATTTATATCATAATATTAACAGAATAATACATAAACTTATTTTAAAATGTGATCAACAAACCACATATATGAACTAAAAGTAATAAAACATTTTGAAGACTTAAATCATCTAACAACTAAAGTTAATATTGCAATTCAACAACAATGTATAAAATCACTAAGTATAAAAAAATAAGTAAGCTAATTATAATATTAGAAAAATTTTAAATAACTTATAAGATAATATAATAGGAATTTAACAATTACATGCAAGATAGAAAGATAACATATAATAGAATAAAGATTAACAATCAACTTGATATACTAAATATGAAATAAAAAAAAGAAAGAAAGAAAGAAAAAAAAAAACAAACAAACAAAAATAACAACATTAATCAAAACCATAACCAAAAGAATTTAATTATACAAATAACACTTTTCTATTCAAGATTTGTTATCATTTTGAGTTATAAGTAATTAAAAAGAGTATAAGAGCAAAATTATCAATTCGTATGTAAATAAGTGCTTAACAATACTA